TAAGCATGGTGAAACATTATCGTGAGCCTAATTCTAGATCAGCTAGGGTCCACCTAAATTTAAAGAGGCAAAATTTATTGAAAGTAAATTTAAGCGAAGTACAAAATGAAATCTATATATGATTTAGAGAAATTATACTTGAAGGTATCAGTTTAAATATTTTGGGAAATGGAAAGATTAGGATATTTTAACATTAAAATTATTAAAATATTTAATCATAATTATTAAATATGTTAGGTATAATATAAATTTTAATTTTATCAAATTTATCATATAATCACAACTATTAAATATGTAAAATGTAATATAGATCTTAATTTTATTAAATTTATCATCTAACTATTATTAAACATTTTGATATTCTTAATGTTATAACAGGTTGATTTTCCCTTTTCTCAAAAATTTTAGGACGGAAAGGTGCAATTGATTGGTAGTAATTGCATGATGTGCACAATACAGTGAAGGGAAATATCGTAGACATGTAACTAAGGTTTTTTTGGTAATGTTGGATGGGTTCTCAAAAGCATTCTAGCTACTTATATAGAACTTCAGCAAAACATATTGAAGGTTGTAGAAGGGCACATCAAAGAATATTAGTTTACTGTAGGTAGAAGGAGAATATTCAAGGAAGATACCAGTAGAGGCAATATGACTTGCGGGACATGATTTTGTTGACTTCTTGGGTAAATCGTTTGGACTATGATTTAATGCACCCTACAATCTAGATTCAATTATTTTAATTATGACTCAGCACAACTTACAATTTTAAGTTGTTTTTCTTTTTTTTTCTTTTTTTTTTTTATGTTTAGCATAAACAAAAATTTAAAGCTAAGATGGTCTTTTTTTTTAATTATTTATTTAATTTCTCATCTTTTCCATTTGCTATAATCACTCTCATGTCATTTTGTTGGTGTAGCGAATGGTGTGCTAGCGTTGTAAGGAACGCTGATGGAAGGAGAGAAAAAACGTGAGAGAATTCATGTAAGTTGGCGGGTTCATTTCACTGGACCTAATCTATATTAGTTTTTCTCTAAAGTGTCCTTATTAGTATTTACGAGATAAGGGTAACGTACTTTAAATTTAAGGGGTATTTTAGTAAATTTAAATATTTGATTCATTGGAAAATGTGAAGTTAATTATCTAATTCCATCAAAAATAAGGTTGAAATTCCATCAAAGATAAGGTTGAAACTAAACATGTGATGCAATTGGCACAGATGAAAATCTCATCAAGACGAAGACTAACTATTTGGGATTCTTCTAAAGAAAATAAAACCTTAGAGACTAAATGTTGCCCAAATAATGTCGTTTGTGAAGAATAATTTATGTGATCTTTTACTTGACATCCTGTGATAATTAATTAATTAGAAGGACCCTATACCCAAAACCATCATTTTTGAAAGTGAAAAGAACAAAAAGAAGATGAAGTGTTGGAAATTAGATCCTAATATTTAATCATTATCTCTATAATTTAAGAAATTTAAGTTATTTATTTGTTTTAAGTTGTTATCATCTAAAATAGGTTAGATAAGTTTGGTTTATTGGTTGGTTATATTTTTAGATAAGGTTATCTTGTAAAACCTATTTAAAGGCCAGTTTATTTTTACTTCAACGTGAGTTTGATTCCCATTCAATTTTCTTTTTCTCTGGAATTCCTTGGTTTTTTAACATTTGGTATAAAAGCCTATTCTCGACAAATTCCATGGCTTCCAAAAATTATATTCAGCCCTCAATCCCTCGTTTTGAAGGTCATCACTACGACCATTGGAGTATGTTGATGGAGAATTTTCTCTGGTCCAAAGAGTATTGGACAATTATTCAAGTTGGAATTCCAAAACTAACGGCAGGTGCAGATGCCGTATAGAAGGTAGAAATTGAGAAGTAAAAGTTGAAGGATCTCAAGACTAAGAACTATTTGTTCCAAACTATAGATTAGACTACTTTGGAAACAATTCTTAACAAATCTACTTTCAAGACTATTTGGGATTCCATGAAGAAGAAGTACCAGGGGAATGAAAGAGCAAAGCAATAGCAATGCCAGGCTCTACGAGCAGAATTTGAAGTTTTGCAGATGCAGATTGGTGAATTTGTAGATGATTTTTTTGTAAGGATGATGGCAATTGCAAACAAGATGAGGATCCATGGTGAAAATTTGGAAGATGTTGTCATAGTTGAGAAAATCCTTTCATCCATAACAACAAAATTCAATTATGTTGTCTGTTCAATTGAAGAGTCAAATGATATTGAACCACTTTCCCTTAATGAGTTGCAGAACTCGTTGTTAATTCATGAGCAGAAAATAAACCGCCAAGACAAGTAAGAGCAAGTAATGCAGATTTCGCAGACGCAAGCCTTACAAACTATAGTTAATTCAAGGGCTGTAGGTCGGGGAAAAGGAAATTGGAAAGACCGATCAATAACTGACAAACCGAGATCTAGCAGATTAGAGGAAAGTTCAACCATTGGAAATCAGAAGAGGTGGCAGAACAGAAATTATCAAGCTGCAGATAATAGATCCAAATCTACAGGCAAGGCAAATGTTGATACTTCAGATGTCATAAGTATGACCATTATCATTCTGAGTGCCATGCTAATCTGAATAGAGGAGAAAGTTCTAACTTTGCATAACACAATGAGACAAATGACGATGCCTCTCTATTCATGGTCTGTCATCCGAAAGAAGTCAGCAAAAAGAATGTGTGGTATCTGGATACTAGTTGCAATAACCACGTGTGGAGACAAATCTGCGTTTTTAGATCTGGATGAATCTTTTCAAGACAAAGTGAAATTTGGTGATAATTCTACTATTGCAGTCAAGGAAAAGGGAAAGGGAAAGGGAAAGGTAACCATTCGTGCCAAAGACAATTTAGTTCAAACTATTGCTAATGTTCTATATATACCAGATCTGAAGTCAAATCTGTTTAGTCTGAGATGGCTTCAAGAGAAAGGATAAGAAATCCTAATTAAAGATGGAGTTTGCCAAGTTCATGATTCAAAGCTTTGGCTTAATTGCAAAGGTCAAGATGACAAGAAATATGTTGTTTCCATTGTACTTGCAGACCATAGATTTGTCATGTTTATCTACCAGATTGAAGGACACAGCTTGGTTATGGCATTGCCAATATGGACATCTTTATTGTGGTGGGTTGAAGACCTTGCAGTAGAAGAAGATGGTAAATGGTCTTCCTCATTTTGATTTTCCTTCAAAAATTTGTGAAATCTGCATGGTCAGTAAGCAACACTGTGACAACTTTCTTAGAGACAGATCTTAGAGAGCAAAGCAAGTGCTAAATCTAGCTCATTCTGATCTGTGTGGACCCATAAATCCAACATCCAATGGAGGTAAACAATACTTTATTACCTTCATTGATGATTATAGTCGCTAAAAATGAGTGTATTTTTTGCAAACCAAGTCAGAAACCTTAACAGCCTTTAAAAATTTCAAAGCCTTGGCTGAAAATGAGGCTGGCAGATTTGTAAAGGTTCTTCATACAAATCGTGGTGGTGAATTTAACTCAAATGAATTTGTTGATTTTTGTGACACCAATGGTATTAAAAGGCAACTTACAACAACTTATACACCTCAGCAAAATGGTATATGTGAGAGAAGGAATCATACAATCATGAATATGGTGCGAAGTCTGATGTCAAAGAACGACTTGTCTAAGGATTTTTGTCCAGAAGTTGTAAATTGAAGTGTTCATATTTTGAACAGAAGTCCCACATCTCCACTTCCAGATATGACGTCAAAAGAGGCTTGGAGTGGACGCAAACCTATTGTTGACTATTTCAAAATTTTTGAACGCATAGCATATGCACATGTGCCAGATCATAAAAGGAGTAAGCTTAATGACAAAGGGGAAAAGTGTATTTTCCTTGGTGTGAGTAATCAATCCAAAGCTTACAGATTATAGAATCCTCTAACCAAGAAAGTCATCATTAGTTGTGATGTAGTGTTTGATGAAGTAAGCACCTAGTCTTGGATAGAAAAATTTGGTCAACAGATTCTTACAGATTTTGAAAATGGTGAAAATCTGACTGTGCAAAATTCAAGAGGTTAAATGCAACAAAATGGAGGTCTAACTTTCGCAAACCTCGAGGCTTCCAAAAAGGCAAAGGAGGAAAGTCTACCTGTTGCAGCAGAACACAGTACTGGAGGAAGTCTACCAACAACACCGGAACTAGAATTTAGAACTAGTTCAAGATCTCAATGCAAAAAAAGAAGACCAGCATGGTTGGAGGATTATGAGGTAACAAATCCACCTCAAAATGATGTTCCAGTTACTCATTTTGCTCTATTTGCAGATTGTGATTCATTAACATATGAAGAAGCTGTTTAAGAAGAAAAGTGGTAAAAGGCCATGGCAGATGAAATTGGTTCTATTAAAAGGAACCAGGCTTGGGAGTTGATAGATCTTCTAGAAGGGCACAAGACAATTGGTGTTAAGTGGATTTACAAGACAAAACTCAGAGAAAATGGGGAGATTGACAAATTCAAAGCTCGCTTGGTGGCAAAGGATTACAAGCAAGAGTTCGGCATTGATTAACAAGAAGTTTTTGCTCCAGTTGCAAGTATGGATACCATCATATTGGTGATTGCATTAGGAGCACAGAACTCATGGCCGATCTACCAGCTTGATGTGAAATCGACCTTCTTGCATGGAGATCTACAAAAACAAGTATTTGTTGATCAACCTCCTAGTTATGTGAAACCTGGTTTTGAGCATAAAGTTTATAGATTGAAAAAAGCATTATATGGACTAAAACAAGCACCTAGAGCTTGGTATAGTCGAATTGATGCTTATTTCTTGAAGGAAGGCTTTCAGAAGTGCCCTTATGAGCACACACTTTACATCAAATTTGGCAATAGAGGTAAATTGATTATAGTATGCTTATATGTTGATGATTTAATTTATACTAAGAATGATTTTGGCATGTTGAAAAAGTTCAAGCAGTCTATGAAGCTTGAATTTGATATGACAAATCTGGGTTTGTTGCATTAATTTCTTAGTCTAAAAGTAGTACAGTCAAATTTTAAAAATTTTGTTTATTAGAAAAAATATGTGTAGGAAGTTCTGGACAGATTTCAAATGAAGAACTGCAATTCTGTCACTACACCAGTTGACAAAGGTGTAAAGCTAATGAAAAATCCAAGTGGTAGGTCTGTGTACAGTAAATTGTATAAGCAGATTGTTGGAAGTCTGATATATCTTACAACAACAAGACCAGATATAATGCATGGTGTACGTCTAATTAGTAGATATATGAGCATCCAAAGGAGTTGCACTTACAGATTGCTATAAGAATTCTCAGGTATTTACGTGGAACGGTAAATTTTGGACTATTCTACAAAAAGGGTGATTAGACAGATCTCGCAAGTTTTCCAGACAGTGATTATGAAAGAGATCTGGATTACAAAAAAAACACTTTTAGGTATGTTTTTATGTTGGGATCTGATACAATTTCATGGTCTTCAAAAAAGCAATCCATTGTGACTTTGTCCACAACAGAAGCAGAGTATGTGGCAGCAACTTCTTGTGCTTGTCAAGCTATTTGGTTGAGAAGAGTTCTAGAAGAACTTGACATGAATTATCATGAGGCCACTTCAATTTATTGTGATAACAATTCAGCTATCAAGCTTTCTAGAAATTCAGTTTTACATGAGAGAAGCAAGCATATACATGTGAGGTATCATTTCTTGTGCAACTTGGTAGAAGATGAAACAATTGAGTTGACTCATTGCAGAACAGAAGATCAAGTGGCTAATATATTCACAAAACCCCTCAAAGTAACAACTTTTTCAAGACTGAGAGAGTTACTTGGTGTTTGCAACATGCATAATTCAGTTTGAGGGAGGGTCTGCAGATTCCAAATTGCAGAGTTACTTGGTGTTTTCTAGATTTCTCTAAATTGAAGTCTGAAAACTTTCAGTTTAAGGGATTGTTAGAAATTATATCCTAGGTTTTAGTTGTTATCTCTATAATTTAAGAGGTTTAAGTTATATATTTGTTTTAGCTTGTTATCATTTAAAATAGATTAGATAAATTTGATTTATTGATTAGTTATCTTTTTAGATAAAGTTATCTTGTAAAACCTATTTAAATGCTAGTTTATTTTCACTTTAACATGAGTTTGATTCCCATTCAATTTTCTTCTTCTCTGGAATTCCTTAGTTTTTTAACGTGAAGCTCTGCCAAACTGAAAATCTTCTGGGGTGGTGTCTGCTCAGTTCTCAAAACCATTTTGCTCTACTTACATATAACTGTAGGGAACATCAAAGAAATAATAAATAATAAGGAGAAGGCATTAATTCAGAGTTGGGTGGGGTGAAGATTAAAGGAAGATACCAGTTTGACGAATATTAACAAAAACGTAAGGTGGACCTTCACGATTCAACAATACATGTAGAAAAATGAGTGTGTGGAAGTGCGAACACGCTCAAGTGAAAGAAATGGAATACCATTGACTTGTGACTTAATTCCTTACTCTAGTCCCTCGTGGAAACACAAGTCAATTAACCAACTTTGGAAATCTTGTTTCCTGGAAGCATCCAAATAAAGTTATTGAGAATGCAACAGAGAAAAGAAGACTGACCTTTGATTTTACTTATAATAAGCAGGAGCACCTTAAATCTAAAACCTAAAAAAAATAGAAAAGATAAAAATTACTAGCATGATTTCTATTTAATTTATCTCATTTTTATAATTGATTAAGGAACAACTATTCTATCAACTAAACATGTCGATAAGAATAAAAGCATTAAACTTGCAGAATTCAGATTTCAGTCTTATTTCTGTTGCAGCTAGCTTGTTCTTCATTCCTTACAAATTAAATGCTGGAATCAAACAGGCAAAACACCAAAATGATAGAAAAAAACACACATAAATTATAATTTAGCACACATAAATCAGAATTCAGATTGTAGTCCTATCTGGTTTCATGGCAAGCTGCAGTTAGCTCTTCTTACAATAGAAGATGCGAACCACACAAACAGACTTTGATTTGTTATTTGTTATTATCATTGGACCAGCAAGACGGAGTCAAGAAGTTGAGTCCTCAAAATGTGAATAAGCATACTGAAACTTAAAACAACCCCCCAAGGTGATTTACACTCTTATTTTCAGAGAAGTAATGCAACATGATTGTGTGAAATGGTTGTTGAAATTATGGATGAATGTAATTATTTGGACTATAATTGCGTTACAAAAATTTACTTATTTGGACTATATTATTAAAAGAACCCTTTAATTCCAATCTTTTTTATGTGTTTAGCATAAAAGAAGTTATAAATCTATGACAGTCTAAGCTAAGGAAGATGCCAGTTTGGAAAATTTTAACAGAAAGGTAAATTGGGCCAGCTAGTTTGATATCAGAATTTAACAATACAAATAACTTGAGTGTGGAACACGCTCAAGTCAAATTAAAAGAAACGGCAGACCATTGACTTGTTGACTTACCTGCTCTGGTCTCTCCCTAGCTAGAAAACAAAAGTTAATTAAGACAGATTTGAATTAATCAACTTTGGAAATTTTAGTTTCCTCTCTTGGAAGCATCCATGCAACAGAAAACAAGACTTGAACTTTAATTTATGAGCAGGAGCTCCTTAAATCAAAAACCTAAAAGAAAATTCAAATTTTTGTTTACCCAAAACCACTATACTATATTCATTTAGAGTGATTAGAACAAAATCAAGATTAATTCAGCTGAACAAAAATGAAAACTGTCAGGGAAAAATGGTCCAAATTTTGTCTTTTGGTTCTGCTATTTGAGTTTCAGAACCTTTCTGCTTGGATATCCAAATAGCTGCAATGGAACACAAAGATTAAACAATGTCAACAGGGAACATAAAAGAATTAAAAGAATGCATTAATTTATAGTAGGTACACCATATATGATATCTTCTCCAGATTTTAACGTGAAGGCCATTGAGTTGTTAAGATCAATAATAATGGAATTTTTTGTAGGTGGACCATGTACACATGAATGTACAACTTCGTGATCGCCACAATTAAAGAAAGAATCCAATTAATTTATTGTGAGTCTTAGACTATGTATATAATGATAACTTGGTGACCACCATAAGTTGGAATTTTCTTCAGATTACTTGTTTCTCCTGTAGGTATGTATATTTTCTAAAAGATATTGGATTGTAGAACTTAATAATGTGCACTGAATTCTTCTAAAGGAAAATAAAGAAAAAACAGTGGGAGCATGACGGGACATAAACATTACCACACTCTGTTTTGTATTTTTCCTGATCCAAATTCTACTTTTACACAATAACTTAATCTAGCCAAAAAGGAAAGAACCTTTTCTGTAAGTTGTAATAATATCTTAAAGTTAACCCTCCATTCAACGAATCATAAAGGCAAGTTCATTAGCAGTTCAATCATACTGAATTATGCTTTTGCTTCCTCGAACCCTTATTCCAATTTTGAAAGTATCGAAAACTGTAATTGCACCAAACCAGAAGTTACTCTTCAGTCCGCGTCTGCACTCCGGATTGACCTGCAAAGCCCCGAGGTGGAACTCGGGGTAGATACTCCGATGCTAAAGTCAGCAATAATCGGGACTACCTTTAGAGCGGAGATAAAAGGAGCTTAAGAATGGTTTCCATTACCTTTTTGACGTGGCCCTTGGGGGGTATTTATAGGCTTCAGTGAGGAACCCACGTGGCATGCCAAGCAAGATAATCGAAGCGTGACGTGTCCCTTGAGGAGATAAACTCGGGACCAGCTACAAATTCGGGACCGGAGAATTATATAATAAATCAGGTGTGGGTATACCCACTGTATTTATCGTGCAGCCGTTTGGCCAAAAATACTGGGTTTAACTTCACTTCGGCTATTAAGGAATTGTTACAGTATGTCCGAGGTTAAGGACCTCGGACTTATCCTTACAAAAACCGAAGCCTCCCTCTGTATGCTGGTAAAACATTTGATATTTCAGCAATGAAGGTTCAGCAACTTTGTATGGTTTTACAGCCAACTCTGTACAACAAAACACATGACTACCAAAAACGGTTCGGGAGTAATGATTAGTGGTTTCGTTTAAACCACTAAGAATAAGTGTTTAGTAAACTTATTTATTTCAAAACTGCTACAAACTAAGTATTTATTAAAACTTTTTATTTAGTGATTTGGGACTAATAAATAGCAATTAAGGTTCAAGCAGCTAGCAAATTAAAAGACCTACATAAGGTGGCTTTTTGTACCAAACTGCTAGTGGATTGAAATTTTCAATTTTATTGATAAATTTACCTTTTTTAATTTTTTAATTTTTAGTCACGATTTTTAATTAATACTTATCTAATTAGTTTTAAATTTATTTTTTTATATTTAATAATATGAAATGATTATTATATTTTTATTTTTATATTAATTTATTATAAAAATATATATATATTAACTTAAAAAATAAAATTTGTTAATTAGACAAAAAAGTTAAAACTTTTGTTGTAGTTTATTAAAACCAATATATTTTTTCATAAAAATAAAAATTAATGTATGACTACACTATTATAGTTTATTTTTTTTGTTTATTTATTTATTATTTTTATAAAATTAATAATTTTAATAATAAAAATATTTAAAGAAAAAAATACATTTAATTGTTTTTAAATATGTTCTTATTAGTTATTTTATTTTAAACAACAATCACTAATTATTGTATAACTAAACAGTTATATTAATCAAATTTACAACCTATTATCCATCAACCGCTATCCACTAACTGTCATCTACTATCCGCTATCACTATCCTGTAAATTTTAACTGCTATACCATGTAAGCTCTAAATGTTTTTGCTCCCTGTAACCCTTGTCTAATTTCTAATTATAAAGTTTTGAAAACTAAAGCTCCCTCCAAATATCAATAAAATATCTGATATCATAGTAATTAAGCTTCAGCAACTTTGTACAATTTTACAACAAAAGTCACAACCACCAGAACAGACCATCACAGCGTTGCCCAAAATGATGTCGTTGTGAAGAATAATTTACGTGATCTTTTAATTGATATTTTTGTGATAATTAATTAGAAGGACCCTATACCCAAAACCGTCATTTTAAAAGTAATAAGAACAAAACGAAGATGAAGCTCAACCAAACTGAAGACGACGTCAAGGAAATTTAATCTTTTTGTGGTGGTTTCTACTCAGTTCTCAAAACCATTCTGTTCTACTTACATACAACTGTAGGGAACATCCTTTTTTGTATAGCTGATTCATTCTTTGTATATGAATATTAGTAGCGGCTTGCTTTGTGTATAGCGAAACTTTTGGTAATGAAACTAAATTTTACCCAAAAAAACTGTAGGGATTATCAAAGAAATAAGAATTTTTTAGTATGTGTCTTTAGCATATAGATTAAGGACATGCTTAATATATATTTTTATTATTAATTTATATAAAAAATAAAATTAATTTTAATTTTATTAACAATTTAATTAAAATACTTTATATAATATTAATATTAAAAATAAAATTTACTTTTATAATTTTTTATATAAATTAAAAATGAAAAGGTATAACCTGTTGTAAGAATATCAGAAAATTCCAACGTATAATAAGGAGAAGGCATTAATTTAGAGTAGGGTAGGGTGAAGATTACAGGAAGCTATTAGTTTGACGAATTTTAACAAAATGGTAGGTGGACATGCAGGATTCAACAATACAATGAATGAGTGTGTGGAAGTTGGAACACGCTAAAGTGAGGGAATGGAAGACCATTGACTTGTTAACTTAATTACCTACCCTGGTCCCTCATGGAAACACAAGTCAATTAACCAACCTTGGAAATCTTGTTTTCTGGAAGCATCCTATTAAACTTATTGAGAATGCAACAGAGAAAAGAAGACTGACCTTTGATTTTAATTATAAGCAGGAGCCCCTTAAATCCAAAACTAAAACAAGAAAAAAACCATTAGTATGATTTCTATCTAATTTATCTCTTTTTTATAATTTGATTAAGGACTAACCATTCTATCAAATGAATATTTTGATAAAAATAAGAGTATTAAACTTGCAGAATTCAGATTTCAGTCTTATTTCTATTGTAGTTGTCTTGTTCTTCATTCCTTACAAACTAGTTGCTGGAATCAAACAAGCAAAACGCCAAACTGATACAATAAAACACACATAAATCATAATTTAGTACACATAAATCACAATTCAGATTTTAGTCCTATCTAGTTTCATAGCAAGCTGCAGTTAGCTCCTCTTACAATAGAAGATGCAAACCACACAAACAAATTTTGATTTGTTATTTGTTATTTGTTATTATCATTGCACCAGCAAGACAGAATAGATAAGTTGAGTCCTCGAAGTGTGAAGAATCATATCGAAACTTAAAACAACCTCCTCAGGTGATTTACTCTGTTATTTTCAGTGAAGTGATGCAACATGATAGTGTGAAATGGTTATGTTGAAATTATGGGTGTACGTAATTATTTGGACTATGATTGTGTTAAAAAAATTACTTATTTGGACAGTATGATTCAAAGAACCCTATAATTCTTATCTTATTATGTGTTTAGCACAAAACAGGTTATAAAGCTATGAAAGTCTAACCTAAGGAAGATGACAGTTTGGAAATTTTGAACTGAAAGGTACAGTGGGCCATATGGTTTGATCTTAGAATTCAACAATACAAATCAGAGTGTGGAACACGCTCAAGTTAACTTAAAAGAAATGGAAGACCATTGACTTGTTGACTTGCCTACTCTGGTCTCTTTCACTCAAGCTAGAAAACAAGATAGAATTGAATTAATCAACTTTGGAAATTTTAGTTTCCTCTCTCGGAAGCATCCATGCAAATACAAAACGAAGACTTGACCTTTGATTTACGAGCAGGAGCTCCTTAAATCAAAAACCTTCAAGAAAAATGAAATTTATGTTCACCCAAAACCATTATATTCATTTACAGCGATAAGAACAGAATCAAGATTAATTCAGCTGAACAAAAATGAAAACTGTCAGGGAAAAGTGGTCCAAATTTTACCTTTTGGTTCTGCTATTTGAGTTCCAGAACCTTTCTGCTTGTGTATATAAATAGCAGCAATGAAACACAAAGATTAAACAATGTCAACAGGGAACATAAAAGAATTAAAAATGATGCAATGAATGGACAACTTTGTGATCACCACAAGTCAAGAAAGAATCCAATTACTTTATTGTAAGTGGACTATGTACATAAGGACAAGTTGGTAACCACCATAAGTTGGAATTTTCTCCAGATTCCTTGTTTCTCCTGTAAGCATGTATTTTTTTCTAAAAGACAATGGATTGTAGAACTTAGTAATGTGCACTGAATTCTTCTAAAGGAAAGTAAATGAAAAACAGTGGGAGCTACCACACTCTGTTTACTACTTTTCCTGATCCAACTACTTTACACATGGACTTAATCTAGCCAAAAATGAAAAACCATTTTTATAAGTTGTAATAATATCTTAAAGTTAACCCACCATTCAACAAACAAAGCATAAAAGCAAGTTCATGAGCAGTTCAATCACAATAAATGCTTTTGCTTCCTCGAACCCCTATCTGATTCCAATCAAGAAAGTTTCGAAAACCTAGGCCTCCCTCTATATACTAATAAAACATTTGATATTCAAGCAATGAGGTTTCAGCAACTTGGTATAGTTTTACAGCCAACAACTCTGCACAACAAAAGACACAACCACCAAAACAGACAAACTTAACAAAATCAAATATGTACAGGGCAAGATGGTGCCAAAGAAGAAAAAAAGGAAAGACAAACCAAGTTTGTTATTTTGACAACATATAATTGTTAAAAGATCAGGGACAGTGGAACAGTCCAACGAACATCCCATAAAATCATTACCATCAAAGGTCATAAAGCTTAAAGCATTCATATCACTCTCTCAATGTGATAGGAATGGAATCTAACCAAGAAAACAAAGAGAAACACCCGAGTATAGCATTTAGTGGCTAAGCCACTAGGGCCAAAATGCTGAAGGCCATCAACAAATTATGAAGGACCAATGGGACCTGTTCAGATTAAATAAACACTTCATTGGAAGGTTTGTCGATGTTGTAATGCAGAGGTCAGGAAATGAAGGCTATTTTGCTATTGATCAACTAAATTAGCCGCTCTCTCTAAGACAAGTTAGGAAAAAAATTCATTACAACTTTCTTAGGTGAAAGTGGTCAGAAGCATTATATTTGCTCCTTTCGTGATAATAGTTTGAATTAAGCCACTTTTCTTACCTATTTTATGGTTCTGGAGTTTGCCTCTATTACCTTAATGACATCATTGATACTAAATTATCCACTTTGGCCTTTAGAATCTCGAAATATTAAAATAACAAGCAAATAATTCATTATCTTACAATGACTCGAGTCCACGAAGAATCGACCGAGTGGTTAAAAGCTTGAACTGTTGGAGGTTTGAAGTTCAAATCTTGTAACCAGTGGTTGCTGAGGGGTTTGGTAAGGGTAGAGCTATAACTTTTTTACAACAAACAAAACACAGAAGTGAATAGCTTGTATTTTTGTTTCCATTAAAATATTGAACTTGCACGTAACATACCCATTTGAGAGAGAAATCAAGACCTTCCCTTTGATGCGAACCAGCAGCACTTTAAACTTAAAAACCTGAAAGAAAAAAGTTGAAACCCCATTAGTTTATAGAATATTTATTGAATTATCCACAGAAAAAAGAATTGATTATCTAGTTTTGCGATTTCTGGGGAAGAGAGAAAAGAAATTACCGTTTGATTCACGACTGGAACCTCAGACCCTCAACTTCCGTCATTTTTGTGAGGAAACAAGGGACGCTGAGAGAGAGGATAAAACCATGTTAGGTGCTCCACCCACCGCCTAAAACCCATTCACTTCCAATTTTTTCACTCCATTTATTCTATCTGAGTACTTCACCTTTTCCCTTTTTTTTTTCTTTTAATTATTTTACAAACGAAACGGCATACAATTTCTCAAGTAAAATTACTTAAATATCATTAATTTTATTTTTATATTATATTTTAAAAATATTTAAATAATTTTATAAAATAAATTATACACA